TCCTGGTGAATTCAGTGCAAACACATCCTTCCTGTAGTGTGGTGACCAGAACTACACACAGCACTCCAGTTATGGCCTAATCAAAGCCCTGTGCAGCTCCAACACAACCTCTCTGCTCTTAGAATCTGTGCCTCAATTGATAAAAGCAAGTGTCCCAGATGCCAAGGAACTGGCAGATTCTCACCACCTTCTGGGTGAAACAGCTTTTCCTCACAACCCCTCTAAATCTTCTGCCCCTTACTTTCAGTCTATGCCTCCCACCCACGCCTCCCAAGGCCATTGATCCATCGACCAGGGGAAAATGTTGCCTCTGGCCTATGCCCCTCAGAATTTTATGCATCTGAGCCATTTCTCTCTCTTGGACTTGGTGTAAAATCAACTTTTCACCATTCTGTGGAATTCCTCACCTGATCGCAGTTTTGGTTCAAATTGCTCCAGGATCGGCTAAGTGGGACAGATGAACAGAAAGGGAAAGGTGCAATACGAAGATTAATATTAACCTGCGAGAAATAAAACAAGCAAATGATCGAGACTCGTCATTTTCAGTGCTTTATTTTGTGATCTTAACGGAAACTCTCAACCTTGGATTCAAAGAGTAAATGCAACAAAACCAGAACTAACTAAAAGAGAAGTTTTGCATGACAATAAAGTTAGATCCATCGAAACTGCAGCAGGAAGTTTTCAGCGTTTGGGAGAGCTGTACACACGGATAAAAGAGCTTCTCACCACAGACAGCAGGCAAGCAGAGTCACTTGGAAGAAGAAATACAACCATAGCTTTGCAAGCTCCTGACAAATCAGGTAAATATTTCGAACACAACATTACTTCAGTTGCAAAGGCAGAACTTATAACATTGTGAAATTTAGAGTACAAACGCTGACTGTTTGGAAGGATCACAAATACATCGTGCCTCATTAACTACACGTTTTGTTTTACCTATTTATATAACAACATTATATTCAGTCCCGGGGAGACTGGTTAGCTCAATTCACTGAATGGCTGGTTTTGTGATGCCAACAGCGTGGGGTCAGTTCCTGCACTGGGTGAGGTTACCATGGAGAACTCTCCTTCTCAATCTCTTCTCCTCGCCTGAGGCATGGAGCCCCTTCAGGTAAACCCCTCCCTCCTCTCTCTCTCTCTCTGTCTAATGGCGGAGCAGCCCGATGGGCTGGTAAGACGGTCGGTGACTTTTATCGGCCCTGGTATGACTGCTTTCACTGTGAGATTTGTCACACATCTGTACTGATTTGAATCAGGAGCTAACAATGACGAGAGGTCGTTGCTGAGGGCAGAGTTGTGCATCAAACCTCGGTTTCTTGAGCTGTGTCAGTAGCATCAAATAGATCATATCCGTAGGTGACCTGGACTTCCCCAGTTTCTGTGTGGAATGGATAAGCTGCAGGAACACAGGGCAGAGTGGGAGGGAGCTATACTCGTGGGCTTTTCCGTTGGAACCCCTTTCTTCCGTGTCCCTTCGTGGGTTGAGTGTGTGACTGGCAAGATCAGTATTTGCTACCCATCCCTAATTACCCTTGAACTGAATAGCATGGGCGAAACATTTCAGAGTCAACCCCATGGCTGTGGGTCTGGAGTCGTGTGTATGCCCAGACTGGGTAAATACGGCAAGTTTCCCTCCCTAACCAGGTGGCTTTTTACAATAATTCATAGTAGTCTATGGTTACCATCAGTCGGACTAGCTTCTCATTCCAACAGCTACTGGGGCAATGAGATTTGAACCGGCGTCTCCAAAGCATTCACCTGGGCCTCTGCATTACTCATCCAGTGACATTGTCGACCCTCCTATAAAAATATTCCTGGCCACTGAGTCAATTGGAGTCGAACTGAGCTTTGAGCCCCACTCCTCCAACTCACTGAACATACTTACACAGTAATTACAGCAGAACTTGATAATATCCAAAAAACAACCTGTCAATAAAAATGCAGGGGTCTCCTATCCAAATGTTCAAGTCTTACAGGTCTACAGCACAGAGAAAGGCCATTCAGCCCTTCAATTTGTGCCGGTCAAAAATAACCTAACTATTCTAATCTCATGTTCCAGAACTTCACTAATATCCTTGGCATGACAAATGCACATCGAAATAGTTCTTAAATGTTATGTGGGTTTCTGCCTCTAGCACTTTTTAACAGGCTGGGAGTTCCAGATTCCCACCACCCTCTGGGTGACAAAGCTTTTGTAGAGTAATACAGCACAGAAACAGACCTTTCGGTTCAACATGTCCGTGCCAACTAGCATATTCTAAACCGAACTAGTCCTTTTCCTCACATCCCCTCTAAATTTCCTGCCCCTTACCTGAAATCTATGCACACTCCCCCCCCCCGATTCCCTCTATGCCCCTCATAATTTTATGCAAGTCAGTCATCCCCCCCAACTTCCCTAGTCTCCTCTGCTCCAAGGAAAACAACCCCAGTCTGTCCAATCTCTCTCCATACTGAAACTCTCCAGCTGAAGCAACATCCTTGTAAATCCAGCTGTGACCTAAGCAACATCTTATAAATTCCAGCATAACCTCTGTGCTCTTAAAGGTTCTGATACCTTAAAGGACCAGTGTACATACACACCCAGGTCGCTGTGATCCTTAGTGCTTCCAGGGTCTTACTGTTCATTATGTACTCTTTTGACTTGTTTGTCCTGCCCAAGTGCATTACCTCACACTTATCTGGATTGATTTCCATGTCCCACTGATCAGCCCATGTGACCAGCCCGCTAAATCTTCCTATAATCTTAGGCTATCTTCCACCGTCTTTACGACCTCATCAATTTAACTTTGGGTTTCTTATTCTAATGAAAGAAAACTGCAGAAATTGTCCAGGAAAACAAGCAAAATCACATTCAAAATCACAACAACAGTTATCTCCAAAACTAGTTTTGCAACGATGAATGTTTATAGCAGTGTCTTACTTTCACTGTTTACAAAGATTTATTCACTCAGATGATAATCAAATCAAAAATATATGACAAGCACACCTGAAACTAGTCTACGGTGAATTTTACATACCATATAACTGCAGCACTCGCTCCACTAGGTATTCTTTGCACAAAACATTATAAAACAGAAGCACCAGGGTTGCCCTGAGACACCTCAATCGTCAGGAAGGATCCCCCATTTTTGAGGCCGGACAACTCACTGTATTTCTTCCATTGAGGCTCATTCTAGATGTTTAGGGGGATACCGGGGTTAACGCTGCCATTAATAAGTAAACTGGAGATTAAGGCACTGGCAATGTTATTGGATTAAGGCTGACATGTTGACATGATGTTTCCCACTCCCCCATTCCCACAGCAAAACTACTTCGAAATGAATACTCAAATGCACTCTTCAAGTAATCGACAGAGCATGGTACTGGCCTAGATTTTAGCCTTCACGCCCTGGATGACAATGATCATCCATCTGAATAGCACCCATGTAATTTTAAAAGAATCTAGGAAGGAGTTGGTAAAGGCGTCCTATTTTAATAACTCATTAGAAAATGGTGTAAAGCCAGACAACTGGTAGTCAACTCATAAAATTCTTGTATTTAAGAAGGGGACATAATATATCTGGTGATTCACAGACCAGTCAGTTTGACATTTGGAAAAATAATGTAATCCTCACAAAAGGAGAGAAAACATCTTGAAGTGAAGAACAGAATAACCATTCGATTTGGTTTGATTATTTATGAATGGCCAGCATAGATTTTGAAAGGAAAGTTCAAACATGATCAACCTCGAAGCAACAGTTAGTGGACACACATTGGGTGGGAGTTATCTGGATTTTCAAAAGGCCCTCAAAGGTTCATCCATTATAGAATGAGGTGGGAGTGAATGGATCGGGATAAGGGGCAGAATGGATTCCTTACTGGTTTCACTGCAGAAAGCGGAGAGTGGAGTGAAGCGAGTTCGTTGGAGTGACAGGAGCTGGGAAGTAATATTTCCACAAAGACTAGTGCTGGGATGCATCATGTTGTTTTCAATTCACTTTAGGGATACAGACTTTAGCATGTCACAAACACAAATTCTCAGTTTGTAGAATAGTCCATCCTGAGAAGAACTGTGACAATTTACAGGAAAACATTAATAAACTGGCAGAGGTGCAAATAATTAGCAAATTATGTTCGATCAAGATAAATGCATTTTGGTTGGAATAATAGGGAGCGCACCTATTTCATGGAGTCTCATTGGATTGCAGGAACAAAGGAATCTAGGAGTTTAATAATTCCCACACACGTCAGCAAAGCTAGAAAGTAAGGCTAGCTAAAGACTAGGTTTTTATTTCTTGATGGTTAGCCTTGACGAGCTGCAAAATGTTGCTGAACCTTATAGTCCAGAGTGCAGTTCTGGAGTCTGCATATTATAAAAAAAATGTAGTGGCACTGCAGAGGTTACAGAGAAGATCTACAAGGAGGATACTAGGAATGTCTGACTAACGTGATCAGGGTGGGAACAACAGGCTGGGCCTCTTATCTCTTGACAAAAGAAGACTGGGGGCTGACCTAATAGAGGCCTTTAAAATGATGAGAGGTTTGGATGGGGAATGTTTCCTTCTGTGGGGAAGAGCAGAGCTAAAGGCCACCAATATAACTATGGTTACTAATAGGGAAATCTCTTTATCCTGAGAGTGGGAAGAACGTGGACCTTAAATCATATAGACGCATTTAAGGAGAAGCGAGACAGTAATATGGGGAAAAGCACATACACAGTTACCATGATAGATTTAGATGAGAGATGATGACGGGAGGAGCGTAAACATCAGCATGGGTTGCTTCCATGAGGTATATCTGGTAGAATCGCATACCAAGCTTAAGTCACCTCCTCAGCCATCATCTTCCATTGAAGAAGAAGAGCTGTCCTTTCAATTCCTTCCAAATCTCTGAATTTACCCGTTTCTGTCATCCTCCTTGTTAAACTAAGCTGCATCCTCTGCTGTGCCTCTAACCAATGTTAGGTTTTAGCAAAATATCCCTCCCTTTCAATTCTGTCCCTCAAGAAATAACAGCCCATGTTCAATTTGCTTCTTTATTATGGCAGTAGAATTAAAATTTGCAGGTTATATTAAGGGCATGCAATCAGTTATGCAATGAAAGCTAAAACATCCCAATAAGTCACGTGGCAAAAGAGCACCTGTTCTAACACTGTTGGGTAATGTATTGGAGGATTATTTCTTGGACAACAACTTCATGGTTTTATGTGATACATAAGCATTAAGTGCAGTTTCTAATATGCTTTTAGCTACTGAAGCAATGTTTTCCCAATTAACGTAGGATTGAGCAGATTCTTGTTGCTTTTTCAGGGTCTCAATCTGCCCCTCTAACATCTCAGCTTTTGCTTCAAACTGTTTGTCCATTAATTCCTTCTGCTCTTTCAGTTTGCTTTCCAGTGCTACCTGCTGCTCTGTCTGCAAGTTCTGTTTCTCTTCCTCCATCTTCAGCTTCAGGTGTTTGGTACTTTCTTCATAAAACATCTTCTCATCATTCCTGATTTTCTCGAGGGTCTTAGCTGTTTCTTCATGAGCCTTAGCCTCTTGTTCCACTGCAGCTGCTCTCTGCCGCTCAGCTTCAAAAAGCAGAACTGGAAATTGTCAGCGGTGATTTTTACAATGATTTTGCAAGCATGTGCTCTCATTGACACACACACAGTAACACACACACACCGACATGCTCACAAATACATAGATACACCCAAACATGCTTAGACATGCCCACACATTCAGATATACATAGATATATATAAACATACACATACTGACATACACACACATGCTTACACACATATAGACATGCACATGCAGGCATAGATGCACTCATCCAGACATACAAGTATACCCTCAAAACAAACAGACATACATATGCACAGATATACAAATATGTATACATGGACACATGTTAACACACATATAGACATACATACATGCGTACATACGTATACACATGCATATAGAACACAGTACAGCACAAGGGGGAGGCGATGGCCTGGTGGTATTATTGCTGGACTGTTAATCCAGAGACCCAGATAATGTTCTGGGGACCTGGGTTCGAATCCTGCCATGGCAGATGGTGGAATTTGAATTCAATAAAAAAAATCTTGAATTAAGAATCTAATGATCAGAATCCAGTGCTAGAACCCAGATTGTCAGGAAAAACCCATCTGGTTCACTAATGCCCTTTAGGGAAGGAAACTGCCATCCTTACCTGGTCTGGCCTACATGTGACTCCAGACCCACAGCAATGTGGTTGATTATGAACTGCCCTCTGGGCAATTAGGGATGGGTAATGAATGCTGTCTAGCTGGCAACGCCCTCATCCCATTAAAGAATAAAGGAAAAAAAAAGCAGGAACAAGCAATGTTGCATGAAACATGATGCCCAATGAAACTAATCCCTTCTGCCTGCACTTGGTCCAGATCCCTCCATTCCTTGCACATTCATGTGCCTATTTAAAAATCTCTTAAGTGCCCCTATCGTATTTGCTTCCACCACCACCCCAGTAGCAGGTTCCTCACTCCTACCACTCTGTATAAAAAACTTGACCTTCACATCTCCTTTGAACTTTCCCCCTCTCATCTTAAATGCATGTCCCCTAGTTTTAGACATTACAACTCTGGGAAAAAGATTCTGATGATCAACCATGCATCTCATAATTTTATAGACTTCTTTCAAATCTTCCCTCAGCCTCCACTGCTCCAGAGAAAATAACCTGAGTTTTTATAGGCTCTCCTTATAGCTCATACCCTCTAATCCAAACAGCATCCTGGTAAACCCCTTCTGCACCCTCTGCAAAGCCTTCACATCCTTCCTGTAATGTAGCAGCCAGAACTGAATGCAATACTCATAAGTGCAGCCTAATCAAAGTCTTATAAAGCTGCAACGTGACTTCCTGACTCTTGTACTCAATTCCCCGATCAATAAAGGCAAGCATGCCATATGCCTTCTTTATCAACCTATCTACTTGTGTGGCTTTGGACTTGAACTGCAAGATCCCGCTGTACATCGCTGCATTAACTATATACTTTCCTTAATATTTGATCTCCCAAAGTGCAGCACCTCACACATCTGTGTTAAGACATATGTATGTGTGCGCGCGCGCACACACACACACACACACACACACACACACACACACAGAGGTAGAAGCACATATTTCCACATACACATTGCACATAGGCAGACATGATCATTGGCACACACACTCATTCATAAATTCTAAATTGTCAGAATTGACTGCCATATTTAATTTGATACACCAAATAAAGTAAAAATGTGGTATCTTCCTCCTAAGGGAATAATGGGAGATGTCCAAAGAATCCCACAGTGTGGAAACAGGCCATTCAGGCCAACAAGTCCACACTGACCCTTTGAAGAGCATCCCACCCAGGCCCATCCCTCTAAACCTGCATTTCCCATAGCTAATTCAGCCAACCTACACATCCCAACACTATGGGTAATTTAGCAATCTACCTAACTTGCACATCTTTGGACTGCAGGAGGAAACAGAGCATCCAGACGAAATTCACGCAGACAGTTGACCAATGCCAGAATCGAACCCAGGTCCCTGGCACTGCAAGGCAGCAGTGCTAACCACTGAGCCACTGTTTTGTTTTGAAAAGGCACAGTGACATTGAGCAATTGAGTGTGTATCATGTTCCAACATGTTTACGTGCTGCAGCAAGCTGTAAGGATACCAAGATAATCCCATCTGATCCTGTATTTATAATTCTGAGGGGTTTTGATAGAATATTAGGAATAAGCTGTTCCTTCCAGCAAGTGTGTCAGTAACTAGAGGTCAGAGATTTTATATAAAGTCTAGCTGAATGGATGCTGGAGTCCAATTCCACAGGGCAGGTACTCGTTCTCAGGGTGGGAAGGGAAAGAGAGGGACGAGGTGGGTGAGTGATTGGGGATTTGATGAAATTAGTAAGATATTTCAAAGAGCCGGCCTGGGCTACAATAGGTCAAATGATCTTCTTCTCTGAATGTCCATAGACAAGAAACAGGACCAGGAGTGGCCATTCAGCCCCTTGAGCCTGCTTCCCCACTCGGTTAGATCATAGCTGACCAGATTACTCCGAATTCTGTGAACCCTCAATAGTTATCAAGATCCTACCTATCTCTGTCTAAAAAGTATTCAAAGACTCTGTTTCCACCACCATTTGAGAAAAGACACTTGGGTCTCTGATTGTAAAACCTCCTCCTTATCTCAGTCTTTTGTGGGCGATACCTGCTATTTAAACAGTGATCCCCCAGCTATAAATTCTCCTTTTTCTTATAGACATATGTTGTGTACCTTCTCAGACTGTGATGGCCCTGTTGTCACTTCAGTGATTGATAATCTCTGATTCGTGGGGCTACATATTTCTCTACCCCCTACTGCCTTGCCATTTCTCTCTTGTGTAGCACATTGCTAGTGTCCCAATCCTGGACCAGGAGGCCCAGGTTCAAATCGCACCCGAGGTATGTCATAACATTGCTGAACAGACTGTTCATGAAACTTAGGTTAACTTTACAAAACAAAACTCACAGTAAACTGCAAAATAAAAACCGAATGAACTGCAGATGGTGTAAATCAGAGACGAAAATAGAAATTGCTGGAAGGGCTCAGCAGGTCTGGCAGCATGTGTAGAAAGAATCAGATTAACGTTTTGGAGCTGAAAACTAAGGAAGGGTCACTCAACCCTGAAACGTTAACTCTGACTCCCTCCACAGATGCTGCCAGACCTCCTGAGCTTTTCCAGCAATTTCCATTTTTGTCACAGTAAATTACTTTGTATACACCTCTGATTCCTTCCAAAAGAAAGTTACTATGACTTATTTACCTGCCAACTCTCTCGCCTGGTCTGTGAGAATCTTGTCGGCCTGTAGCACAGAATCAGCTTCTGAAGTTTTGCTTTTCATGAATAAGCTCAAGGCATCTTCAGCCTGTGGGATTTAAAATACAATTAAATTCTGGGAGGATGCAAGACTAATATGGGTAGAATTTCACAATAATTTATCAGTGAGAAGTTGAGCTGTTGGAGATGGGAAGCTGACTGATTGACCATTGAGATGTTGACCTGTTTTTCCATTGAGTTAGGGGATTTAATGTTAATGTTAACACTGTTTTAATGCTGAGAAAGGCACTCTGTCTTTCTCGTTATTGTATGTTGACGGTAATGGGAGGGGTTCAGCTAGTCTAAAATTGTAATAGATTCCCCTGATCAGAAAACAGAGCCAAATGGGTGATTATTATTTACCTTATTCCCCTTTCCAGGAGTGGTGTGGAATTTCTGAATTAACTTCTCACAATCTTCTTGATATTGTTGATACCCTCCAGGACGAGCATAAACTCCCTCTCGTATTTTCTGTTCGATCTCAGAGGACAGGCTCTTCAGCAGGTTTGTGCACATCTCCCTGGAAACAGCTTCATTCTTGTCACAAACCTCAAAATAATGCTGCTCCACATTAGCCTGACAAACATAGAAAATCCAGAAATTGTAAGCAGATTAAAGGTCCGCATTGGAGTAGGTAGCTGATAGTGTTAGATATCCAATAGATGTTAGCCTGAACCACTAATGTGATTGTTAAAATCTGAGAGATTCATTGCAGAATAACACACATCTGAAGAGGTAACAACATGGCTGTTTCAAACAATGTATTTTATGTGTCTTAAAGTCTGCCATTGCCCACAAAGGCTCACTGATGAGAAAGAGGTCACATGGCTATGGCAAGCCAACTCGGACACCGTGCACAAATTGCTTTGCTTCCAACATCCCCTATTCCACAACAAAAATAACCAATTTATTCATGTGCTTACGAGTCCTTACCCAATATATGTAGTGCAAAAGATACGATCATTCATTGAGAAATCCAATAATCTCGTCAGTCCCACTTTCATCAGTCTCTGCAAATGCATTTTATCCATTACCTCTAAAATGTTCAAGTCTTTCAAAGATGTGTTTGAGTTGCTGCTGTTTGTCTGGTTCATTCCTGCAGTGATGTTCCCTTCATGGGGAATTTTGTTCCTGCACTGCGTGCTAGTTTGGAGCGAGGTGCCTGCCGTTTTGATTCACAGTTTAGTTTTTTGGGTTGATTAGTTTCGCGCAAATTGAGTTGTTGCTGCCTGTTTTTTGATTCAAGTGCAAGTTGCAGCTTGTCTGTACGACAATACCACTGCACATCCTTGGCAGTGAGCTTCAATGTGCCTTTATTGGTCAGTGCATTGAGTATGGGAGTTGGGAGGGTCATGTTGCGGCTGTACAGGACATTGATTAGGCCACTTTTGGAATACTGAGTCCAATTCTGGTCTTCCTGCTCTTGGAATAATGTTGTGAAACTTGAAAGGTGCCGAAAAGATTTACAACGATGTTGCAGGGTTTAGAGTACTGGAGTTACAGGGAGGGGCTGAACAGGCTGGGGCTATTTTCCCTGAAACATCAGAGGCAGAGGGGTGACCTTATAGAGGCTTATAAAATCATGAGGGGCATGGATA